TTTTTACTTTCATTACCAATATCGATGAAGGTCCATTTCCAGTCTTTTAAACACAATACACTAGACATATAAGATCATGATTAAATCACAGTAAACATGCATTCTAATAAATATATAATGCTAGGTTCTTTACAATCTCACCAAAACTAGGGTTAATCATCATCTTCATTTCCGTCATGTTATTTTTTACTTTCACTATCAGTATCGTTGGGGGTCTATTTTCAGTCTTTTAAATACAATACACTAAGATATAATAAGAATCATGATTAAATCACAGTAAACATCCATTCTAATAAATATATAATGTTAGGTTCTTTACAATCTCACCTAAATTAGGGTTAATTACTATCTTTATTTCCGTCATGTTATTTTTTACTTTCACTACCAGTATTGCTAAGGGTCCATAAGGATCCCCATTATACGTGAATACATAAATATTTTCTTTATAAATCATTGGTCATCCTCATACCCCGTCCAGTAATGGGTGTTACAATTAAAGATTGTCTCAATACTCGGTCCGGTACGAGTGTAATTAATTAACTCCCAACCCTGTTCGGTATGGCACTTCCTAGCCCTGTATAACTGGGGATATGTTTACGGTATGATTCACCCTATGTATCAAGTCTATACACTCTTTTCTATGATGCCCAGTAAGCCTTTGATTCATGTCATCATTTTACGCATGTATACATTTCACTATTATCCAAACAATTAATAACCCGTAAGACCTATACATCAGATAATACAAGAGTATGTCATTCATGTTTCGATACTCATTAAGGATAAGATCGTAGGTAAAAGTGAAATAAGATAGCAAAATAGGATAAAAATTTCATACAATGAAATAACATAAATAATAAAACAAAACGAAGAAATTAAGGTGAAATAAAATAAAATAGAATGTAATAATGAAGCAAAATAAAATAAACTATAACAAAATAACACAAAACAAAATAAAATGGAATGGAGTAAAGTACAGCGATTCCAGATATGTAATTAATACATTGATTCTAGATAAATATAACGAAATAAAAATAGAATAGACAAACTGAATGAAAATATAAAATTGAAAAATAAATAAATAAAGAGAACAGAAGTAAAAATAAAATAAAAATAAAGAATAAAAAAAATGCAAATAAAACTAATAACGGACATAAACTAAATTGATTAACTGACTTTATCAACAACCTATATTTAATCATCAAGTAATCGCAAAATCATTTTGAATCGTCACTTATTATCGATTAAACTTTGATTTAACTATAACAGGAAAAAGGATCGAGGTATTCTTACCTTAAATCAGAGGTTAGAACACCGTTTCTCTCATTTACGATTGTGGTAGCTCTAAACTCTCGGATTTTTGAGTTTTTTAGTGGAATCAAGGAGTTTGTGTTAAAGTAGTGCAAAAAAAAGTAAAAAGTGGTAAAAATGAGCAAGAACACTCATTGGAGTCGATTTGGAATTCTGGTACGATGGAGCAACCAAGCTCTCCACTTGGTTCTTCTTCCCTGGTGTTTCTCTCTCTTGGTTATGTCGAATTCTAGTGGAATTACAATTGAAATCAACTAAAAAACGTGAAAAGAAAGGGTTTTACGAAGAAAAGAGGAAAAAATCAGGCTTACCGGTGTCAGTTGGGTCTCTGGCACGACTGCACCGTTGTCGCTCTATCACATGCACTCTCTCCAGTCTCCCTTGCCACTTCCCCTCCAGTCGATTGTGTCAGCTAGAGTTTGGGAGGCCGACTAAATAGAAGTTTAAAACATCTCTCCAATTAATCTCTGCCATCCGATCGGACTGACGAGGCGCAATGGGAATCCGATCGGTGCCGTTTAAGGGAAACCGGTCTTTTCCTCGCACGAGCGATTGTGACCATTGGATTGGCTAGCCCTCATATATAAGTTGTTGATCGTAGGAGCCTTTGGATTGATGTGTGATTTATCAAAGTTGTTCGTTTAAATTCGGGCGAGCGTGAATCTAGACTGTCTGCACACAGGAACGACCACGAGCCGTTCGATCCTCCTGACACGCGGATTGCTGATGTGAGCTTTCTGCGTGGGAGTCTCTGTCGATGCGATTGTCATGCAACGTGTGACAATTCGCACGTGTTGCTGACTGGGCTTTCACATGGCTCATTTTGTAGAATTCGTATAGTGACACCTAGTCACTTAGAATCTCTCTAAATATACCTATTTTTATCGCATAATAGCCCTAACTAAAAAAATTTATTTTCAAAGAGTCCCAAATTATTTATTTATATATTTGATTTTATTTT